TTTAAAGTGCTTTATTTTTTTTAAGACTTATTTTTTTATACATACAGAACTGGGGTGCAGGCCAGAGGTGCAAGGGCAGTGAGAGGATTCACCAGAGACAGAGTGGGGAGTGGAACAGGCAGATCTACTGAAATACTGCTGAGGGGAGCAGCGGGCAGGTCAGGAGAGGTCTGCCACGCCATGTGTATCACCTCCCTGTCTGGGACTTGCACACACGCTTCAGTGGCTGCCATAGCTTCATAGCCCTGTGCCTTAAGCCATTGAACCACAAGGGAGGACCCATTATTTTCTGTTCTTTCATACAAAAACCAGTGTAGGTACATTGAATATCCTAAGCTTTCACATCATTGTGTATGCAATCCATTGTATCATTACAGGGAGGGAGTATTGCCTGTTTCTCTACAAAGCTAAGTGGACATCAGATTATTTGAAAAAGAGGATGGTAGCCTAGCATTTAATTTATCTTCTTAGATATTGTTACATATTTACAGATACTTACTATCTGCTATGATAGAATAATACAGGCAGTGTGATCTATTGCTGTTATCCTTATGAAACACTTGCATAATAGGATATTAAATATCTGCTCCAATTTTATTAATTTAATGTCATTATGTTCTCTCTCAACTAATCATGATTCTCTAGGATATATTACAGAAAGCTATGGAGGATGTAGAAGTAAAGCGTAAGATTCTCAGAGAAAAACAGAGGTAAGATCTAAAATATTCTTTTTGCCAGAATTCTTTGCCATATGTTCAAACAATTTCTGATTTGGGGGAAGGAAGTTTTGGTGGTAACTGACAGTTTCTCTTAATTAGCTGGCAACATCTTATGCACAGTTTGTTCAAAATCCTCCAACCAATGTCACCAACATATTAAGTATTCATAAAATATATTGCATGTTTAAAACCTCTGACTACAGGGGCCTTCCTGGTGGCACAAGAGGGGTTAAGCACAACACTATGAAGCTAGATCCAGCCACTGTAGCAAGAGTTTGATTTCCGGCCAGGGAGGTGGCCTAAATGGTGAGCAGACCTCTCCTGCCACACCCGCTGCTCCCCTGTTCTGCTCCCCACTCTGTCTCTGGTGAGTCCTCTCATCTCCCACATCTCTGACCTATACCTCAGTTCTTGTGTGCATAAATAGATATCTTAAAAAAAAAAAAAAAAACTCTGAATAGAGTAATAAATTAGTTCAGAGTCGGATTGATCTTGCAGAAGGTGTGCACTGTCCAGAGGATTCGCTGACAACATCTCTTTCCTTGTGCCCTTTGCCATTTAAACCCTGAGGGGTAGTTGTAATTTCTTTCCAATACTGCTTACAATTTCAAATAGAAACTGTTTCAAGAAAATGCACCTCATAGATGTAGTTAAAATAAAAACAACAAGCCTGTATCATACTACCATTGTTTACATTTCTGAGGTTGACTGCTCTACAACTCAGGGGTAAAACAAATTAAACTGAAAAGCAGCACTGCTGTCTGTGTAAGGTCAGGATTTGAAAACTGCCATGACTTCAGAAACAAATTTTTAGGGAAATATTGCTAGTTCTGGACATTATTTAGTGTGCGCCATGGGCTTTCCACAAAAATTTATTTATTTATTTTAAGATTTATTTTATTTATCTATGCATGTAAGAACTGGGGTGCAGGGCCGAGGTACAGGCAGCAAGAGGATTCACTGGAGACAAAATGGGGAGCAGAACAGGCTGTCCTGCCTTGCCTGCTGCCCCATGTTACAGTGGCTAGCAGTAGCTTAATAGCACTGAGGCATTAACCCCTGTGCCACAAGGGAGGCTCTTTC